TGGTTTTCAATATACTCGTTGTTTCACGTCTTTTGTGTTGAAGTTCGAAGTGTTAAAGATCTTTGTGAAAGGTCGCTGTAGCCTTGTGAACCGAACATTTTCGCGGCAAGTGCGCTAAGGTAGGTCAGGGGTTGTCTTGAACTTCGTGCTACTCGTTATTGGCTAACGATAGGTTGGTGCTGCGAGCGCACGAGGTTTCGCGCCTTCAGGTTTTGCGCCAACTCAGGTGTTGGTTTGTTGGTTGCTGATGTAGGCGGCTCGAGGATCTCTGTCAAGTTCTCGCTTGAGTAGTGAGCGCCAAGCATTAGCGACTCTATTGCTTGGACGCTCACTTTTGCATTCGCCTTTCAGCACGCAACCACCACCCTCACGCCGTCAACACCGCTAACAACGCAACCCCTCCTGGGTAAGAACTCTGGGAGCGCGAACTACAAAGTGGCCGAGGTGAACCGACTGCTGGACTTGGTGGAGCAGTACCTGCCACTCGGAAAAGACGAATGGGAGCGGCTAGCAAGTGACTTTAACTCGACGCGACCCCGTAGCTGGGCGGAACGCGACTTCGACAGTCTGCGCCGGACGTTCAAGGCTCTTTACAGCACGCGCAAGCCGACCGGCAAGGCCAACATCCCGCCGCACATTGAGCGCGCGAAGGACCTGAAAAGAGCCGTGGATGACAAGGCAAATGTCATTGAGATGGACGATTGCGTTAAAGAAGATAGTGATGAGGAGCCGGACGAAGAGAACGAAGAAGAGGAGGAACGAGCGATCGAGCCCGACTTCAGCTTCAATTATGAACCGGATGACACACTCTTCCCCGATCGTGATGCTGGAGGAAGCACCGTCGATATCGGGACCGACGCGCAGAGTGGTGCGTCCTTATCCACCTCCACCGGCTTGGAATCCTCTGTAGATGCAGCTGAAACCGCTGCACACTCGGCTAGTAAGGGCGCGCGAGGCAATGCTCACCCTGTCCTTGACGTCCGTGTAGGAGTGGATGGTCTGGAAGCATTTGCACCCACAATTGAACTCGGTTCCTCCACCGGACCAGCACCAACGCGCTCTCTGCGCTCGGCAGGACTCCGAAGGCGGAAAGCCACCCCGAGCCGCCAACACGACGAAACCGAAGGCCAGGAAGACCAAGTCTGGACAGCGCCCAGACAACCATGAAGGAGCAGGTGGTCGTGGCTTCAACGATCTGCAGGCTTCATCTAACCGTCTCGGAGGCGGTGACTTACGTATATTTCGTGTTAGACTCGTAACGAAGCGATCCAGCGAAGAGGGCGACCTTGAAAGTGCAGAGGCGAGCTTTGCGAAAGGGAAGCGCATGAGAGCTGTACTGGCTACTGAAGCTCTACAGCAGAAGCTCGCGAAGATCCAGCAAGCGTCCTCAAGCCTCGGAGGCAGCATGATGGAGTTGGTACTGATCATGCGTGAAGAAAATGAGCTGAAAGCCGAAGCTCGTCGAGCCGAAGAAGATGAGTGTCGGCGTGACGAGCTATCTGCCCGTGAAGAACGTTACCAAGCTGAAAAAAAAGATGCCGAGGAACGCCGTCGTCAGGAGAGTTTGGAGTGAGATGAACGTGCTCGTCGCGACCGAGAAGACGCCCGCTTGCGCACGCAGGAACTGACGATGCTCATCGGCGCGTTGACGAAGAAGGTATCGCCTTAAAAACATTAAGGAGTCGACAAACCTTTGGTCTTTCGACTTGGTCAACCGTAGGATGACGTCACAGAGAACCAAGACGAGGAAGAGATCGACTCCAAGAGCTGCAGGTTAGAACTCTAGCAAAACCGCAAACGAGAAGACACAGCAAGGCTCCTTCCTATTCAGCATTTCATTTCCACTTAGCCTCCTTCGTATTCAGCATTTCATTTCCACTTAGCCTTGGTTAACTCAAACATTACAGCCAAACCCGTTTGCGTCTCAGTCCGATGTAGTCGAGATATCCATGTCTCCGCTGAAAGTAGTGCGGACTTGTGAAATTCCAACCGTTCTTACTCTGTAGATGATCAAACGGAACATATTGCTGATACGCAGACCGCGGAGCTCGGGGTCATAGGGCAGCGGGACATTTAACCGGCTATAGACCTTCTGGATGCTACCCATTCCCCACTCCGCGGCCTGCCGTACGGAAATGATCGCATTGTGCATCGTTCGGGCGGTGCTTCGTAGAGAGGGCTGGATGCGATCGATGTCCCCATCCTTGAGGGGAGTCAAAATTCAACCCGTC